ATGAATTATAGCGTGTGTTTATAAAAGTAGTTAAGTTTAAAGTGACTGTGGAAATTAAGTGTATTACAAAGTTTGTAATGAGAAAGAATAAACTAGTTTAATTAAGAAAGGACTTGTATCGCTGAAGTTTCTCGGAAATAATTTTTACGGGAAATTATCAAACAAGCAGATACGTAACAGTACTAATAAACGTTGGTTTATTTTAATAACTTTGTTATTTAAAATTTACACAAGTGTCATATCAACTTTTACTGAAACGATTTCGCCGATACTACAGTTTCAAGCCAGACCAAAGGCCTAGTGTGCTGTCCCACAATCCTAAGTTATGCACAGTATGTCAGTGATCATTACTGTTTTTACATATTCTAGTAATTAATTAATAATTAAACCGAGGCGATCGTATGAAAAAAAGAAAACCGAATTGAATTCTTTCTTACTTCGATATAAAATATCTTATGTATTCCAGGACTTTGCAATGGCATATATGTGTTAAACAAGTGTTGAGAGAAATACATCATCTAGTAACAAAAAAAAACTTATATTAAGCAATGTAAGTCTAAGAAATCCCTAACAAAATTACTAACTAAATTTTTAACCTTGGAATAACAGCATAAAATAGCAACGGCAGCACCATCTGTTGTTTAATGTTAAAGTTAACTAAGTCATAATATTAAGAGTTTTCAATTAGTCACATCAGTTTAACTGACGAGAGAAACCCAGAGAATATTTGAACTTATATATTGATCAGTGTGTAACTGAGAAGCCAGTCTGTTCGAGATATTTCATATAAGATTGGAAATATGCATAAAAATACTAATAAAAACCGGAGCTTAGTAAAATAAAACACATCTTCGGGATCCTACTTCAACCTGTTGCTTGAAAGTACCCTTGATACGTAGCTAAAATAGAATGTTGGTAATTAAGCACAAAGCTGCAAAACTGTACTCTGCCAACCACGGGTATCGAAACCCGGCTTGTGGTGTTGTAAGTCCACAGACATACCGCAATGCCACTGCGGATATGTAGCTAAGAATCATATACATAGTGATAGGTACAAGAAATGAATATACTTGACTTACTAATATTATTCTGGGCATATATTTCATTCTACTTATTCCAATGAAATCAGTATTTTTTCACCTTTTGGATATAAATGGCTTTTACAAAATTTTCATAAAATTAGTTTCATAACAGCTTCATCGAAGTTTCACTCATCTTTAACAATAGACAATACCCAGCGCAAATATGATGTCTTTCAATGCATTGATATTCAATAAGGAAATTTAATTTTATAAACAGATATTATCTGTATAGCTGCTACTGGTGCACTGAAAAAAGTAAGATATAAAATACGCGGCATTTCTGAACATCATTTCAAATTATATATTCAAACGTAATTGGTTTGTTTGTTTGTTTTTGAATTTCGCGCAAAGCTACATGAGGGTTATCTGTGCTAGCCGTCCCTAACTTAGCAGTGTAAGACTAGAGGGAAGGCAGCTAGTCATCACCATCCACCACCAACTCTTGGGCTACTCTTTTACCAACGAATAATGGGATTTACCCTCACTTTAAACGCCCTACGGCTGAAAGGGCGAGCATGTTTGGTTGGACGGGGATTCAAACCCGCGACTCTCGAATTGCGAATCAAGCGCCCTAACCACCTGGCCATGCCGGGCCACCTAATTGGTATTAGCAATAGAAAAAAATATTCACTCTTATGAAGATTTTCTGAAAATCTTTATTTACATGATGAACACTTAGGTTCTTCGATTTGCAAAATGTTAAAAAAGTCCAGTATAAAAGTTGCAGCAGTTCTTTAGAACTTGGGTTTTTTATTTATTCATTTTAAAAAGTTACAGCCGTGTAGGAAAAGTAATCAAACAAAACCTCCCTAAAAAACGCACACACACGTATAATGTTGTATACAATCATTAATCTATATGTAGACAAATTTTTGAAAACATAATTCGAAACCTTGAATTTAAGTAATCTGAAATGAGGGATAGTCCAAATGTTTAGGTTCATTCGATTTAAAAGCAACCGGATCCAAGTGGTAAAAGTACTTTGAACTTAGAGTTATACACTTCTTGGAGACGAAAATATATTGTAGTGACGTAAAGAGTAAGGGCTTTCTCTAGAAAGAATTAACAATTTGAGTTCAGGATTTAAAGCACAAATCTACAAAATGACTATTACGGGTATCGAGGCACCAGGAGAAGAGGGACTTCAAATGTGGTATTATAAAACAAATTAAGAGACTAGCTATTTATTTTGTTTAACAAGTATATAAGCAAATGATCCTCTGTCTTAGGATACTAACACTCTTTAAAAAAGTCGAAATTTTGCTCGAAACAAAATATTTGTATTATCGACCAGTTTGTTTAAAAGTAAATATTAACTTCTTTTTTCAGTCAAATAATAGAACAGTTCCAAAACTCTGTATAATGATGACCAATTATTGTTGATTTTATATATAAACAAACGAAAAAAGTAGTATTTTTGTACTGATGAAAGTTTTGAATATTATTATTATTATGTCACGAATCTTTTGTATTCAAAATTGGACTAGAAAACTGAAATTAATAGCTTCTTATACAAATTCTGATGAGTTTTATATCACCTTTGTCAATAATATAGCTTAGTAAGTGTTAGCTAAAAAATGGTTAAAAAGATTTGGCATAATGATCATTTGTATGTTTTAAAGTAATTTATTTCGACAAATATATTAAGCGAGTCGAGTGCCCTATCCACCTGGCCATGCCGGGCAACCTTTGAGTGACTTAAAGACGCCAACCATGGCATTTATATTGAATTGCAATGTCCGCAAATTTTTGTTGCTGCTGTTGAAGCGCTGGAAGATAAGATTCCAAAATTCTGAAAAATTTCCTGTCTCAAGTTTATTCATTTGATCAGTGCAGTACTGCGACATTCTGGCATCTCAGGACGGTCTGCTGACATCTCCAGCAAAATGTAAATGACGTTTTTATAATCATTGACTAGTGCTTAACAAGCATCTGCATGACACGACCAACGTGTGTCATTCAGTTTTTTTCGGCATTGAAATAGAAAGGACTTTTACTTCGAGTTTGTCTTTTAGTTTTCTATACCACCAAGTCAAACCAGTGAAGAAAACGTATAGTGCTTGTACAAAAAAACGTTGCAACTTCACTGCATGAATTTGCAGCATCCTTGCCCACAAGATTCAACGAATGTCCAAAGCAAGACACATACTTTGCGAGTTCATTCAGGTTGTCTATTTTAGCCCGCATGCCCTTGTAGCGATCAAACAAGCTACTCGCATTGTCATAGTTTTGGCCACTTCAATCCTATATGTCGAACCCAACACCTTGAAGAAATGACAGAAATACGTTTGTCATTTCTTCTCCTTTGTGCTCTGTTGATCCAAGAAAAGTTACAAAGCGCTCCACAGGCTGACTTCCTTCGAGTTATTACAAAATGACAGTAAATTGATCAACGTGAGCTTGTCTTCACATGAATCCACAGATACTGAATAGTATTTTGCCAGAACATCTACAGATTTTTAGCCCATGATCTGAATCAACTCCTCTCACACACTTGCTGAAAAATAGTTGATTTGTCCCTAGCCTTTGTTACCTTTAGTCTGAATGTGCTGTGCCAAGAATGCGTCATACTCTGCAACCAATTCTAATAGATGAAGTTAGTTACCACTGTGTGCAAACCCAATCGTTTATCGTTTGCTCTGCAAGGAATGTTATCACACTAACTAAACGCTTCAGTACATTTTGCCAGTAGTTTGTCAACTCATCAATTTCATTCTGAATAGCATGGTCAATGCAGCCTTCTATTTTGGCATACTTGGCTGCATCTATCACTGTATCTATGACTTGGATATTGCTCGTGTGCTGAAATTCTTTCACCGGCATGCTTCCGGTCACTGAAGCTGGCATTCGCAAATGCATTACTGGCAGT